TTTGAAGATTGAAACTAGATTTTTTTTTTGAAATTGTTTCTTCAGGCCCAGTAATGGTAACGAAGAATCCATGCCATGTAGCGGGTGATGTTCGCATTTTCGAAGCAGTTTATCAAGATGCTCTGTCACACCTTTGTGATGTTATTGTATTTCCACGATACGGCCCACGCCCACATTCTGATGAAATGGCTGGTTAGATTTAAAATTTGTTAGAGCTTTTGTTAGCTTTTAAATTCATTCTTCTGCTTGCTGCATCTTGTAATTACCTTTACTTTTATGCATGTTTTTTTCTTATTTACTTTTCATGCTTCCATTTATGGTTAGCATTGTTTTATTTTTTGCTTTCATATATATTAATTAATTTCGCTTTTTAAGCATGTAGTAATACTGTTAATTTACAAGTGACATGCTGAAATTTTTGTTGTCAGGAAGTGATTTGGATGGTGATGAATATATTGTTATATTCGATAAAGAATTGTTTTTTGAAAATAACGAACAGGCAATGTTTTTTCCAAAATCGATACCAACTGAATACGATACGCCACCCACAGTATGTGATTTTTTTCCTGGAGTACTGATGCGAAACTATTGAAATTAAATTTGTGCTTGCTTAATAAAGTGTCATGGAAGGAAAAGAACTTTGAAAATTTATATTTGGAATGTTGTTCAAGATATCAGCGCTACCTTATCGGTCGAATCATTGGATGAGGCAAATGATTGAATGATTCGAGTGAAGAATTTAAAAATTAACTGGATGCTAAATTGCCACTGAAAGTTACTCAAATTTTATTGAAATTAAATGTGATGTTATTGCTAAAGAATATATTTATAGACAGAAGATATGATAGATTTTTTTCTGAAATATCTCAGTCAGGATTCGATTGGTCGGATGTCCAATGCTCATCTGATTATGTGTGATCGACTCGGCCTTTTCCAGCAAGTTATTTTTTGTTTTTCTTTCTAAGTTGTTTGTGATATATGGATTATTTTCATGTTTATATATGTATATATGGCGGTTATTCCGTAGTCGCTTATATTGTTCGCTGATGAATTTTGCATTATATGGGTTACTACCTGATTCATTGATGAGTTTTACAAAATCTAACATATTTAAATAGGTATTCTTTTTAAAATGGAATTTTCCTTCAGTGAAGTATGTGATGAAATTGCTCGAAAATGTGCCATTGCTGTAGATTTTCCAAAAACAGGTGTGCAAGCCACACCACTAATGGCACATGAACAATGCGAAGTTATACCGGATTATATGCAAAACATGATAAAGCCATCATACAGAAGCAAGCGATTACTTGGTGAATTGTATAGGTAAATTATAATTTTCCATGTGATATTTATTATTAAATAAAAGAATCATTTATGCGAAGTAAAATAGAGTTTACAAAAAATCATAGAAATCAGAAAATACATATCTAATTGTAAATTCGGAGTGTAAACTAATTGCGCATGAACCCTTGGATCTGACTCTTTGGTACAAAAGTCTTTTTAGGAAAGCACGAAAAGTTGAAGATATTGCGGAAATGGCCCAAGGAGCAAAATTTGCCGATTATTGTGATCCACAAATTTATGATGAAAGCTTGTTTCGTGAACAACCGAAATTACTCCAAAAGAGTTTATCTTTGAGAAATGAATATTACTCGAGAATACAGGTTTGTATGTGTATGTTTCTATTCACGCTTTGCGCTTAATATTTTAGACATTGTTGCGCCATTGAATTTGCGCCAAAACTGATAGTATCATAAGCATAACCTTTAAAAATCTGACAAGACAATACTTTATCTATCTCTAAGATCAGGTGAATTAAACAAAAAAATTAGAGATCATTTTCCTAGCGATGGATTTTTCAGCAATTACTGGATGAATATGGAATTTCTGACGAAGCTTCTGTAATATCCGGGCATAGCGTGGCAATCAAAAGAATTATTGAAATGGAAAAAGATGATTATTCGTTTTATCATTCGGATAAAATTGTCGAACTACGATATAGTCGAATTTTTGCATATTTTAGGCGTGAATTTTTCAAGGTTTACTTTCTTGATGAAAGAATTTTTATCCCAAGAAAATTTCACGATAAAAAATTTTTGCTAAAATATTTTGGAATAAGGTTTGAAAACCAAAATGTATTTATAGGAATTTGGAGAAGAGTCAGACTTCCTTACGGTAGATGCATTGGGAAAACATGGAATACGCTGGAATACGGCTTTAATTACGAAAGCTAAAGCATGGTACACGGTAACATATGGCAACTCTTTCAGATCGTCTTCTGAATTTCGATCTTTTCCATGGATTGTTTGGGACATTTTGCTGATCGTTAAACGTCAAATCGTAAGTAGTTATGTATTATTTCAAAGTAATTTCAGGGAAAACAAATGAACGATTCTTATTCCAAAAGAATCATTGTACCAAATTTAACTTTACTAATGAAAAATATTTTTCGTGTTGTATTGATTTCTGTCCAATACATTCTAAATACATTCTTAAAAATGTTAAATTCTAGACACTAATGCTGAAATCACCATCACCGTTGGTAAATCCTCTAGCGATTCACCTTACGCGAGCAATTGAAACTTTTTGTTACCATCATCACGTTGCACTGAAGCAATTTGTTAATGAGATGTCATTAGGACCGATGCGACTTGAAGCGCTTGTGCGATATTCTCAGAGGTACTATGTTATGAGCTTTTTTTACCTCCAACTAATACGAGAATTAGTAATTACCTCCAACTAATACGAGAATTACAATGAAGCAGTAAGAATGAGGATATAGTACAACCTTCGATTACATATACTACGCGCATTATGTATGAGATATTATTGGGCATATTTCCTAAAAGAACAATGTATACTGATTTTCCCAAATGATTTCAGCTTTAATTTTTTGAAATCTAATTTACCATTGAATTTTTTAAATGCGAAATGACAGGTATGGATCAAATGTTGAAATGTTATGTTTTGTCATTGATAATTGGTTGAGATTAGAAGGAGTGTATGAACGTTCCGCATTGCGAAGGATACATGTTATCATTTTGTTTTTACAATTTACTATTGGAATATTACATGGCAAGCGGACATCTGATGAGTTGATGAACAGGCATCCTATTTATTTTGAAAGGGTAAAAATATGTAGAACAAGAAATCATCATAATTATTCGAATTCCTTAGCAACTTTTTCAATCTGGAATTAATGCTTTGAATTGGGGAAATTTCATTTCCGATCTAACTTCCTGCAAAATATTTAATCATTCCTTTGCAAAATTACATTTTTTGGATTTTGATAAATATATTGAGCAGTAACTTTGCATATTGTTTAATAAAAAATAAAATAATGCGTAATCATATGATAGGTTGAGATGTATTGGCTTAAAATCTGAATCGTGCTTATTTTAGTTGGACGATTTACGAAATAACTCAGAAACTGTTGACTTAGTGTACAGTATTGGTGAAATACTCTTCGCATTTTTACGTTACTTAGCAAGCAGACAGTTTGCTTGTGCAAATTTTATACGTTTTCGACTGGGCGGCATGATGGAAGGTAAGAAGGGTGCTTCAATTTTTACGAGACCGGAACAATGGTCTGCGCTTTATACTGTAAGTTTCTTATTTTTTCGAGAGGCAAGTTTAATTAATGAATCTTTGTTCCAAATCCATGAAAAATTTTTTTGCTAGAGGAATTTTCCGGAACATAAGGCTAAGTTACGACCGAAAAGTTCAATATTAGTTAATGCTACGGTAAAACGAAATCTCATACATGTATGTATTTGTTATAGAGCGACTGAAATTGTAAAGCTGGAAATTTCTAATGCTTCAAAAATTTGGAAATATTTCAGTTATTGCTCAAATTTTATTTTTCTTCAATCAGGTAGCATTTCGCGCATTTCATCATATCGCTATAACGGCCGAATTTGATGCTCTTCGAATTACGAAAGATTGCGGTATTAATATTGACTGTGATAGCGATGAAAATTACGAGTGGGACTTTGGTGAATCAGATGCTCCAATAATCGTATCCGGTGACCTTTTCTGTCATAAAGACATCAGTTTGCAACGAATCAGTACTGCACTTAAGGTATATGCTGTTACTTTTCAATGGTAGCATATACAGTCGGAGAAAGGAAAATTTAACCTGTTGATCATCAGTTCCAAGTTTTTCTAATATGCTTGACTCGAATTTTAATTTACTCATTGGCGATGCTCTGGGACATTATAGGTACCGTAAAAAAATCTTTGTTGTACAATTAAATAAGTAATTAAATGCAAAATATCAAGCAATAAATGATAGCGACAGTCATCAAATTCAAGCGATATAATTTTTCAATTCGCAGGTCGACATATTTGTTGCAGAAATGGTCTGGTGTAAACGAAATAATGAGTCGTATGACGAAAAATGAACAACTGTTAATTACCTGTACCGGAAGCACAGTGGCTCGACAGCGATTGCATCGAATACTATTAATGGAACCGGAACGTCTTTTCGATGCTGTGCAAACCGAAACCATGCCAAAAGAAGCTCGAGATGATTTTTTGTAAAGTAAGGTTGATATCAGTTTAAAATTAAAGTGGAACTAGAGTCTCGCGGGTGACAATCGATTAACGAGCATCAATTTTATCAAATGTATCATTCCTCTCACTATCTGCATCGATCTTATAAAGAATTGTGTAAGTTATGGTTTCCGGATTATTAAAGACAATAAAACGCCTCATCAGTTGCATACTTATGCTTCTTAAATCTTTAGAAATGTGATTTTGTTACTACTTATTTATTATTTCGTTGTTACGAATCTCCGGTCATTCATTGTAATACTATTGATAAAATAACTTATTTTCGTGATAGGTCATCACTTATTCAGCTTATCTATATGATAAATAACTGCTACCTTTGAGAAGACTTAATCTTTTCTCCCTTTGCCATTTGCATTTATTGAATTACAGTACTTTGGAAACTTACCACTCTTCCTCGGAAAGTTCGGCTTCATCCGTAATCGAAGTTTCAAAACCATGTATTGTTACAATAGCTTTGATTTATCTCATCTCTAAATTTCTTCTGCTTGGAATCGACGCGTGCACAACTGGTCAACTTTCGATGTGCACTTCAGACCTAGCTTTGGTTAAAAAAATAAGCATCTTAGACCTTTAATTTAAAAAAAAATTTAAAGTTAAGCCATCGGCTTAGTTAGTGAAGTCGTTCTCTATAATTCATCGGATCTAAAACATTCATCTTTGAACTTTTTTTGAAATTGAGTTTTAAATACATTCCTCCTAAATGTATTTACAAAAATCAAAAGATGTTTTGTAACAATGGATATTTTTTATCATCCTTCTTTAATCATACATTTCTAACTTCTCCAAGCCTTATACATTACCAATAATACAACAGATTAAACACCTTCGATTGATTAAAGTAATTTCAAATGGCATCAAACAATAAGTGTGATTAAAAATGAGCTAAGGAATTTAAAAAATGCGGTATGGGAACAGCTCTTTCAATGTTGAAAAGTACGGACAGTAAATACATGAATATATAATTCTCGTAGAAGTTATGATAACTCTAAAGAAGATAAATGATGCTTGGGGTTAACTTATGCAGTTCGGAAAATTATTTAAACAAACAGTCTAGAAAATTTTGAAAAAAAGGTGATTAACTCTGGAATAGAGTATGCACAAACTGTTCATAATCCAAAGCTCCCGGTATCGACCGACCCGAGATGGTATCTGTGTATGGCTTCATACGCTTAATGCAATACTCCGCTTGTTCGGGCGTAAGATTCTACAAAATTTTTCAATAATTTTGCAACGATAATACCTTTGCAAAGAAAAGCCGTATAACACAAAAGTATAATTCTATAATCAAGATATAGAAAATCTTCATATTATGTCTCCTAGTATTATAAGCACATATATTCTAAATGGATATCGCCATCATGCAAGAAATTTCAAAAAGAATTATGGTGTGAGTTTTCAAGCGTCAACTACCCTCCACCGGGATTTGAGTTAGGATTTTTCGAAGGTTCCTGAGATTGGGTTTGCTCAATGTTTCTTGAGATATTTCCACTGTGCTATCATTTCCTAACAAAATCATTGAAACTAACTTAGCAGAAACTAATCAAATTGCAGGAAGAAAGTTATTTTAGATATATTTTAAAATGATGTATTGTTTGCTAAAGAAATGTAAAAGAGATCTCAATACTAATGGTGTCAGTACTTCACAAATCAAGAAATTGAACTCACTGCGTATAATTCTTCAGCTGTAACATACGGCCGAAATTCTTTCGATAGAGCTCGAAATGCACTTTCAATTTCTTCACTTGATTGAATGTTTTCGGTTTCCTTTGAAATCATGAATGCCATATATTCTTGTAGTGTAACATAACCATCCCGATTCGGATCTACAATGTCCAAAATCCGCTGAAATTCCGGTTCCGGTTGACCCTCATCAACCATTGGCAAATCGTAACCAAGTGCCCGCAAACAACTTTTGAATTGTTGATGATCAAGACGTCCACACTTTTCCTGAAAATTTTTGATACCAAAATAATTTGAAAAATAACTATACATGAAATATAATATAATGGATACTTCAAGCATTGAAATTTCAGTGACTTAAAACCAATCTCTTACCGTTTTGAAACAGATGAACTTACCTTGTCGAAATGTTTGAACATCATGGAAAATTCTCGGAGAGCTTCTTCAGTTACACCGGACTGGTTGCGTGCTTGAATTTGCTGCTCAAGATTGTGTTGCATTCTCATAGCAAGCTGATCAAGTTGATCCCAAGCTTGAGCTAGGCCAACAGTGCTATAAATTTGTTCAAACATTTCGTTTTTTATTTAGATAACCATACAAATATCAAGCAAAACATCTATTCAATATGAGACGCCCAAATCTTCGACTCGAATGGCTAATACGAAATACAAGGTGAAGTGAAAAAAAATAGATTAATATGAATTGTTTGAGAAGCACAAACCTATGTTCGGTGTATCGATTGTCCAGAATGAGGTATTCTTCTAGAAGGGCGCCCAAATCTTCGATTTTCTTTAACTGAATGCGATTGTTTTTCACATCTACGGCCTATAACAGACATAAAAAATTTAAGGTGGAAGCAGTATAGATTCAGAGAAAACAGCTGACTGCTCGCTCCCAAAATCATCCACTTGCATTCTAAAGAAAAAGAGATAATAATGATAGGAGGCGAAAGTTAGCATAAAAGAAGGCTGAAAAGCCTACTGAGTATCGCCCATCTATGGAAGGATTTGAAAGTGTATGGGGTCGGAAAATTATTATCAGTGTTTCGTAACACAAAAATGCTGAAAAAACTTTCAAAAAAAGCACTTACTTTCTTCTTCAACAGTTCAAGTTGTTCTTCAAGTGTGCCACTCGTTTCCATCATTGCTGCGCGAGTTTCAGTAAGCCATTGATGGAATGCATTTGCTCGGCGAGCAAAATCACGGCGCAATTTATCGTTATCTTCCTGGCGACGATGTTCTTTTTGCAGTTCAATTTCACGTTCCTGAATTATACCAGAAATAAAATTAAGGTTTATTTTAATGAATTTTTGGTAATTGCTACCTAGGATCTCTATCGGAATCCATGTGAATTACGTAAACATACGCTTAAATGCAAGTAAGATCTGCTAACTTTAATGATTTTTTGTAAATTACGCCACGTTTCTTCTAGCGCATCCATTGTGAACCACGTATATGGATTTGGTCCAACATTGAATGATGTAATTTGTCTATCAAGCAGCTGTAGTTGTCTGAAATCTTCCTCAGCTGTTGATAATGATTTATGGAACTCGGCGTGAGCTTCACGTAAAGCACTAATCTCTTCCAATGAATTACATCGTACTGGATCTGTCAAATCCTCTTCCGCATTTTCAAACCACGAGTTGAATGCGGAAGCCTAAAGATCATTACTTTATTTGTATACGAAAATTTACATTCATTTAATAAAGTTTAAATAAATCTTTCACACCCTTTTTTGAGATAAAAGACTCTAGAGAATTTATTCTTTCCAGATTCGAATGCTAGTAAACGATATACTGCTAATGCAGAACCACTGATAATACTATGTCTGAAAACCGTTTGTAACAATCTGTCATGATTCAAATTCTGGAAATATGAATCGTGATCTAAAGAGTATTCACCTTCTTTGCAAAAGTAAGATAAAGTTCTTCAATTTGTTTATACTGATCTTGCATCTTCAGCAGTTTCTGGCGTCTTGCTTCTGAATTTGCAAGAAGCTGTTGCCAACGTCCGATAACATTTCCGTGCCGCTTCTCGATATTCGGCGTTTGGGCATGATGAGCATTTACAAGTTGGTCTTTAAGCTCTGTGATACGCTGGATACCTTCGTGCTCAAAAGCATTTAAACCTGCATCAAATGCTTCTTGCTTAGTTAAAAGAATCTGCACAGATGACAAATCACGTCCAAAATCATCCGATCGTACTTGCTGCTCCTTTTCCGCTGAAAAAGTTTTGCTTTTTTCCACTAAGTTAAATTTAAAACAGAAACTGACTACATTTACAGTTTCTTTAGAGTTTTGTGAAAAAAAAAAACTAAAATGAAAAGGAGAAAAAGCAAAAAGAAAAAAGGGAAATGAAAGTTGTTACCGATCCAGCTCTCCACAACATCGCACTTCCACATAAACTGTAGATAGGCGCTGTTATCTTGGAGACGTTGTAAGCGACGTCGGGCTAATTCTGCGATCTCACCAAGACGTGTTTTTAGCTGATCACAACGTGCTTTGATACTTGGACTGTGATGATTACCATCATCAATTAGCTAGAAGGCAATAATAATTACCGATAATTTCAAGGATGTGTAATGTGTAGAATTTCCAAAACTTTAAACATTAACGACTTGATAAATGTTCTAGTCTAATTGACAAATGACCGCACTTTCTTTTTTCATAGCCGCCCTAAAATTCACAATAAAATCGGTCAGGCATTATAATTATTTCTCCTAAACTGTTATTTTATTGAAGACTTATTTGACAGCGTTCTCACTCAATATATTGTAACACTTCATTACAGCGAGATGTTTTATGCTGAACCAAATCCTAAAATTCAGCTGCAATAAAAAAAATACCTTTTGCCCTTCAGCAATCAAGTGATCAATACGCTGGGTATGGAGTGCAAGATCAGCTTCAAAAGCATCGTGCTTTTTAAGTAAACCTTGCACACCAGCCATATTTTCACCGAAATTATCCGATGATAGAATCTGCTGTTTTTCATTCATCCACGCTTCCTCCTCTTCCACTTTACCCACAAATATTTGAAAGTCTTCACTCTCACCAAGTTTTTGCTGTCTGAAATTACATGCACACTTACTTCTTCCTTGAAAAAGAGTCCTCAAACGCTGAACTACACGACATCTTATTTTATTTAGTCTCTGTTTCAACTTTGATTGAGCTAAATCAAGTTTTCCGAAAGGCTCAAAAAATTAATAAACTAACCTCTTTCCAGTAATATTTCGTATTTCATTCCAACTTTCCTCCAAAGCTTGCATGCGTTTCCTTATTTCCGGAGCAGCAGCATCCGAAAGATTAATCAATTCCAAGCCTTTCCCACGAACAAGATCTACTTGTGATTCATGTGAAACTAGTTCATTATCAAGGCGACGATGCTTTTTGCGTAAATTTTGCACACCAGTTAAATCGCGTCCATAATCATCGCTCGAAACAAGTAATTTCTTCTCCCTATAAGGCAAGATATAAATTAACAATGAGTAAATAAGGAATTAGAATGCAATCGACCTAAGTGAAAATGAACTAAGAAAAACTCACTTAATCCATGACTCTTCATCATCCATATCACGCAGAAACTGATAAACAGTGATAGCTTTATTCAGTTTATCACGTCGAATATTTGCCATTTCGCGAACTTTCTCATGACGATCATTTATAGCCTAAATCGACACACAGAATAAGTGAAAATAAAATCATGGCATTGATGCATAAGCACAGTACTCACGAATAGTTGCAAGAGTATAATTAATTTAAAAACTTAATGTGACTTCATTATCTACAACATGCTCCTAATCCTTAATCGTTATAAAAAATTTGTGAGAAATGAGTTCTAGATATTTCAGTAAGATTACAAAAAAATGAGATCGAATTCACTTAAATTACGTAGCAAACAGTGTAGGTCAGAACTATAAATTCTGATAAGAAGATGTAGAGGATTAAAGTGAACAAAAAATCGTATAAAAATTTAAAACGTATATCAGATACCTATTTTTATGGTAAAATTAGACAAATAACTACCAGTGACAGGTGCAATTGCCATAGAATAAGTTTCAAAAAAAATCTCATAAATTACTTTTCGACGATTGCGAATTTCGGGTTGATCGAACTGTCCACTCTCGAGAAGATTATCAGCTTGCATATTCATTTCGTTAACACGATCAGCATGCGATGCTATATCAGCTTCCAAAAGTTGATGTTTCTTTAAGAGATTTTCAATACTGGTCAGATCTTTGCCATAATCTTCGGATGCAAGTAAACCTAAATGCAAATTCCTCTTCAGTGTTTTTTACGAAACTTTTTCATTGCAAGAGTTAACTAAAATTCCTCAATCGCACTCCTCGTTAGATCATCCGGATGAAACATTTTTCAATGCAACATATATTTATTGGCAATGGCGTTAAAATATTTTCAATGTTTTTCGGAAATAAAGTACACGTTATACACTATGCGATTCCCTTCTTCTTGTAAAAGTCCAATAAATTAATTCTAAAACTAACTTTCAACTTCACCAAGCCAAAATTCGAGGTCTTTAACAGCTGCCATAAAACTTTTCTGCTTATTAGCTTCCTTTAAACGATAACTCTTTTCAGACGTTGTTTTCACCAACAATTCCCATTGGTCATTCAAAGCTTTTAGTCGTTGTGAGACAGCATCCTTAAACCGATGCACAGTATTCTTATTTTCTGAGATGTAAGATTAAAAAGAATAAACAAGTTAGAAAGATATGACGGAAAAAATGAAAATCTTGAGCATTTATTAAATTTTTTTGAAAGATTTTGGAAATACCAAAAGCTTACGATTAAAACCAGATATATCTCAAAAAAAAATAATTTTTCAATCTTGCTATTCTTTACCTCTCCACCACCACATTTACTACTATCGATAAGATTTTGACCAGCGGTAATCAATGTTGCGATTCGATCTGCATTTGCAGCAAGCTCCGCTTCGAATGCCTGTTGTTTTTGATGTTTCTGTTGGATATGAGTTGGGTCGCGATAACTTTCCTCTTGGGCAATTTGGAATTTCTCTGCAATCCAGTTCTCGATTTCATCTGCATCACGAGAAAATTGCTGCAACGTTTGTGATTCGCCCAATTTACTACGTTTTTCAATTAAAGCAGCTTTCAAACGGTCCCATCGATGCAGGATTTGATCACGTTTTTCGATCACAGCATTTTTATCATAGTGATCCGAGTTAATCAGTTGATTTGCAAACGTTTGAAGCGCTAATATTTTTTCCTGCTGTGAAGCTATGGCCTGAAAATATAAATGTACCAAAGGAAAATCAGAATCATTTACCTTCTCCAAGGCAGTTCAAAAAAGTTCAAGAAGTGATATTTGACGGAAGTCATTTATTATCAGAATTAAGCCTATCTGCTGAAAGACTATAAAGAACTTAGAACCTTATCGAAGTCCTCATGTTTCTTGATCAAGCTCTCCACATTATCACTAGTATCCTCCTGACTCAGGAATGCTTCCCGAGCGCTCATCCAAGTGTCAGCTTGTTCACAATCGCGATAAAACAGCTGTAACTCTAAACACTGATCCAGGATGTGTCGACGATGGACCCAAGAACTAAAAAATAAAACGGTACTAGATTTATTAGAATTTGATCGCACATTGTTCGCAATTAATTTCGGAAGCATATGGCGAAATCTAGCTTTCCTGATAGATAATTTGTTAGCCAAGTGCAATTCTGCTTCATATCAATCAATTTTATGAATCTTTGGTTTTAGTGAACAAAATTCATATTTTAAAATAATTTGCAAGCTCACTCTTCAAGTTTTTGTCGAGCATTACTGACGTCTTGTAGACGCTGCTTAATATTTTCTGATGCATAATGATGGCTATTCAATAGCTGATTGCCAAACTGCTCGAATACTTCGAATGTCGCAGCTCGTGAGTCTATTTCTGTTCTATATTCTTGATGACGTTCTAGCAATGCTTCTGCTCCAGTAACGTCATTTGCAAGTTCATCACTTGACACTGAAAACAACATTTCGCTTGATTAAGAAATGTAAACTACAACCAAAAAATTTGTAATCCGACGCATATTAAAAGTACTTGACTTTGCTTGTTTTATCAGAAATCGATTGAACATTTTTTCTAGAGAGTACGATATATGTTCGTCGCACAGATAAAAGTAGTTGGGAGCAAACCGAGATTTTAATGCTAATCTTTTACATTTTTAGCAGGAAAATGCAAGAAAAAGCCATACCATACTATATTTGATGCCAAGAAAAAAACAACTATTACTATCTGTCACCTCATTCAATAAAGGCATCAAATTCTCCACTACGTAACAGGCATCTCTATTTAACAACTCACAAATTTATGAATCTTTTTAAATAATAAGATTTTGGCAATAAGAAGCTATTTATTTTTCAACTAAGTAATCAATCACCGAGTTGGTTCATTGCTGCGGTCCATTGCATCAAATCACGAAAATCAGATAGGAAGCGTTGGTAATCATAACTATCCAATAGCTTCTCTTTACGATCATTTGCTTTTGCAGTAAGACGGTTCCATTGTTCGCTTAGTTCACGTTGTAAATCATAAATTTGTTCTGCTGCTTCTGGATGAGTTTGTCGCAAACGATTCGCTTTTTCATCCAGCGTTTTAATCTATAATAGTGGATAGAAAATATTAATAAATCCCATCTATATTGTATTCCTCATCCGTCTATTTACTCATATGATAATAAGACTTCTTCCATAAAATATCTACGCTAGTGGTGAATAAAAATGAAGTAGCAAAAATACAGATTTCTAAAAGTTATATCATAATTAAAAGTCGGCTATACCTTATCGCCCAATGCTGCTAGATCACGTTCAACACCCTCATGCTTCCTTTGTAATGCCTGAACCGATCGTAAATCACGACCAAAATCTTCCGAATCAAGCGCTTCATCCTTTTCTACAATCCAGTCCTTTGTTTCATCAACGTCTCGATGGAATCTCTGAACTTCATGAGCTGAACCAAGCTGCTGCTCACGTTGCTCTGTTTGTTCTTCTAATGCGCGCCAGCGGGCATTTAAATCCTAAAAAATGGATTTCAAAATTTACAAAAAAAAAGATACGAAAATGTTCTTTGGAAGAATTATCTATTTAGAAAAAAAATTTATGCTCATGTATCTAACGAAACAATAACATAGATTTTATTGCAACAGAAAACGATAGACATTTGAAAGTCATTACTTGTAATAAATAATTATACAGCTTGAATGTAGCTCAGATGGCAACTTCATTCAGCATGTTTTAAGCGCCACTCGTTCACAGATTTAGCGATTAATTATACCTCAATTTGCTGTCGAATTCGTACAGCTGTTTCAGTTTGTCCAACCGATGTTAATGCTGTTGCAATCTGATTCATTTCTTGGAGTCGTATTTCATTTGCTTTAAGATCACCTTTGAAATCATCGAATTTCTTTTGCAATACTTCCACTTGTTCCAAATCGCTACCAATTTCTTGCTGTGCAGCAACTGTTTCCTAAAAAATTACAACTTCCTAATTATAAGGTAACAACATAAGCAGCGTTAATGATCATAATTTGGTCATTTGTAAAAATCTACCATTTTCAGTGACTCTCAAGTTGAACATTTTATCTCTTATTAAGAAGCTACATTAGGCAAACTTTTTTCTATATCGGCTGACAAGTATACATCACAAAGTAAAAGATAAAGTCAAATAATTCCAGCTTTACTTTAAAGTAATAAATCAATTAATGAAGATCGAAATAACAGCAGTGACAGAATCATATTTTTCATATTTTTTGTAACTATCTATTCATATTTTATAATTTTAAAATCACTCCAATAATAAAGTTACCATACCCTTGAACGTATCCATTCCGCTAAATCGTTAGCTTCGCGAAGCAACTGATAGCCCTTGCAAGCTTCTTCAAGTTTTCGCTTTCTTGTTTCACCAAGTAGAACAAGTTTGTGGTACTGATCCTCAATTTCGCCTTGCTTAGCACCGATCAATGACGGACCCTGCAAATTATATCCAATTAATGAAACCTATTGGAATCAAAGATCCATTTTTATATTACACACATTAAAAAAAGTATGAAGATTCTCAAATAGCATAATTTTTCCCGAAGTATTCTAGATTTTCGACATCATAATTCACAATACATAAGCTTCAGTACGATTCAAAGCAACTGGTAATTCCAGTATCATTTTTCTGAATATGTTATGCATCAAACAGAAGTAGCCACTGATCATTTCTGATGGCTATCATAAACGCAACTTACAATAAGTTTAAGTAGGCAGTCTATTTCTTCAGCATGTTGGACATAATAATGGATCAATCCCTACACAATTATAATCATTACCTGTTCAGATGCAGTTTTTTGTGCAGCACCTGCTTCAACTTTTCTTACATAAGCAGCAGGAACGAATCCCTGGCGATCATTTACTTCCACTTTCCACCAATCCTGAAAACACGAATATAAAATCAACGATCAGTTGAAGAATGATCATTTCAATTTGAAATTTTTGAACGATCACTTTCAAAAGAGCACCTTATTCGATGAATTCAACAGCGCAATGACATCACCCTTCTTGATGGAAACCTCTCTCGGCGATTTCTCCGTATAATCGTATAATGCCATAACACATTCTCGTCCAAGTTGTCCACTTGTGTGTTCTTGATATTTACATTGAACGGCTTGTTTACGCAATTCCTGAAATTTCATTTCAGATCCAATAAATCTCTTCAAGTCAGGATAACTTTTGAAATCCTAGCTATGCCTGGCGCTGTAACTGAGAAAAACAGCGCTCTTGACTTTTTGAGAAATTTCATCATCACTTGTTTGAATTCGAAATTTTTTCTTACATCAATTGTCGATTTGAAAGCTTCCAAATCGGACATCAGAGCACGATGTTTCTTAAGCAATGACTCTGCACTATCCTCATCTTTACCATAATCAGTACTTCCAACAACTGGTTCTTTCTCACGCATCCAAGATTCCGCCTCATTCGCATCAGCCAGATATTGATGAGCCTTAAACAAGTTAATTTTATTTGTGAAATATAATGCTGATCAACAGCAGCAGAAGAACTGAAAAATTTTCAACTTTATGGGAGAACATAAACACAAAATTTACACGTAGTCCTAGTCCTATCTCCGCAAAATCCTTCAAAGTTAGTTATATTCTAAACTTTCTGGTAAACTTGTGCAGATTTTCTCTTATACAGATTTTCTCTTTCAACTTTATCTACTCCTCCACATTAAAATATAAATGCAGCCAATAACTGACCTTATGCAAATTTAAAAAACTGAAATTTTAACATCGCCAGGAGACCATCATCAAAAAACAATTCTGCAATACTATTACCTGCAACGAATCATCCAAATCTTGCCGACGTTTATCCGCTTTTGTCTTTAAATTTCTCCAACCATCACGCAATTGTGCAAGTTTTTCACGAATATCTGCAGCAAGGAAATGACCTTGCTGGACCATTGCTTCTGCTGCTTCACTGACAGCTTCAACTTGCGGTTCATGGTTTGCAATCTCAGCAATAAGAGCTTGTTGTTTTTTGATCAAATTCTGAACACCGATTAGGTCACGTCCTGAAAAAAAAACTCTATTAGTGCTTTTTTATCAGGTAGTGGTTTGCGCCCTTTAAACTGCACTTCAGTATATATGAAATATTTATAATTTAGAAAAAATCAATAAACGTTGTGATTGCTCGAAGTGAACTACGGGTGCTCTGTTTTTACCTCGATTTGAACTGCCAGCGATTTGTTCCTTTTCTCGAATCCACGCTAATTCATCATCAATATCTCTAAACAATTGGTTACCCCGAAGTGATTCAACCAATTTGTCTTTTCGTGCATTCAGCGGATCACGTAACGCATCATATCTGTAATAAAACTTTTGAATTATGATAATTTTAAAGGAAGGAAGATTGTAGTTGTCAGCTTTAATCCAGAATATATTTTATATTAATAAAGAAGTAAAAAGTAAAAAAAAGGTAAAATCATAAAATAAAATTTCATTACATACCATTTGCAGTATTAAATATGATAGATATGCTAAAATAATGCAATGTAAATGATTAACATCATTAAATTTTACTCTCCTCAGGTGGATTGAAAGAAATATAAGGTAACAGCATAACAAAGACCAAGAAGCTAAAGCAGGTAATATTATATTACGATCTATGCTATGGAGCATAACGCCATAATGCTATAAACGAACCTTGAACGCAGAGCTTCTTCCTTCCGTAAAATCATAGGTGCGTCAAAATGTCCACCATCATGAAAGATTTTTGCTTGTTTCTTAACGAGATCAATACGATCTTGATGAGCATTATAATCACTCTCTAAAAGTCCAAGCTTTTTTTGGAGATTTTGGACAGAAATCAAATCTTTGCCATAATCTTCAGATGCAAGTTGTCCTTCTAATTCGCTCAACCATAGCTCGATATCCTCAACATTCCTGAAATATGCCTCTCTAGATATAAATAAAAAAGAGTTATAGCATAATAATGTATCAAAATAACACAAGTTTTATTACGTTCATAATATACACGTATACGTTGTTTCAATCAATTGTAGAACCAAAAAAATCAATGTTAAATTATGCCATCAAATCACTGAGTGGATTTAATTAATTCATAAGTACTGCAACCTGTTAAACTGCTGTTGGTCACCCGCTTCTTTCAGTTTTGCACCTTTCTTGGCGGTTGCATCGACCAACTCATCCCAAATACCATTCACCTCACTCAAACGCTCCTCTACATGCGGTGCAGCATAGTGTTTCTCCTTAACCAGTAAAGCTCCTACTACATTAATATCATCCAGGCGATTTTTATTTGCCTTTAGTTCTTGCTCATAATTCAAATGTTTCTGCAGTTTCCCCCTAAAAAATAAGTATTATATGAGTGATATGATAAACTTATTATGTATAAATGTACATTCGAACTGTATCAATAAATGTACATCTGAACTTGAATAATGAAAGAAGTCATCATAAAGAAGCAAATTCTACTAGCAGTCATTTTTTATAAACTAATATATTAGTGTTCTTCATGACATAATTGTAGTGGATGATTAATTGCAGTAAATGAAAGTGAATAGTTAAGACAGCATTGAAAATAAAAAGCTTGAGAGTTGCATCGGTTGAATGAAGAACAATAACATATTATTTGAATGTTGTCACATACAATAAATAATAGACCTGATGTTAGTAGGATCAAGATACGAATCATCTTTAGCGGTTTTCAGTTTTTCTTTTATCCAACCGACCATTTCATCACAATCACGATCGAATTGTTGCAGTCGGTAAGAATTTTCGAGTTGATGCCGCCGTTCTGATGCCTGAAAGGTGATATTACTTCTACATTAAATGAACTGCATACTAGGAAACCGCCAGAAAGTACGTCTTATATCCATGAGTACTTTGGATGCTCAGTCCATTATGAGTTCGCAATAGATGAAAAATGTAAAAGCAATCGCACTTCTTGGAATTTACGCACTTAAGAATCTTACCTTTTTCATCAGCTGCTTTCGACGATCTAGAAGCGATGCTCGTCGACGACCAACATCATCGGCTGCGTAATGCTGCCCTTGTATCAATTTTGTAGCGAATTCATCTAGAGCATTGATTTTTTCCTCTTGTGCAGCCAAAGATTTCTCGAAATCTTCATGCTTTTTAATCAGTGACTCAACGCTATCCAAACTATCACCCAGATCATCGTTTGATAGAAATGCTTCCTGCTTTGTCATCCATGTTTCAGCCTGAAAATGCCTTTTTTTCAAGTAGGTAATGATTGAATTAGTTCTAATGTAACATAGATAAGCAATGTCAGCAAAAAAGACTTGAGCACTAAATTTATGGTTAGTCCTAAAATATCGTGCATGGTAACAGATGTTGCAGTATTGTTCGCATATTTGTAAGCATATAGAATAACATACACTTATAATTCTCAAGGCTATTCTAATTTGAAGAATCGGTGCACTGTGCACTAAAATCATCCATTAAAAAAAAATTTAATGGGCTGCGATATGAACGAAATAAACTATCAATTCCAGAAAATTACTTGTTCGGTGTCACGATAAAACAGTTGCAAATCCATGCACTGTTCATAAAGTATTCGTCGTTCTTCCCATAATGAAAGTAAGCTTGCTTTTTCTTGCGCCAAATGTGTTAATTTATCCCGAACTTCATTAGATTGCTCGATTGCTTCATCCAGCAGTTTTTGTCCAGCTTCTGCGGTCTGCATAAAACTATCCTCTCTAGCATCAATTTCACCCTGAAATTACAGAAAGTAAACAATTAAAAAATGAAGTTCTTCAGAAATATTAATAACCGTTGCCTCTAAAGGTATAAATTGCCAATAAGTAACCCGATGTTCTTGGTGACTTTCAAGCAAAGCCTCAGCCCCTGCAACATCTTTAGCCAATTCATCAGCTGATATCACTGCTCTCATATCATTAATCCAAGAGCAAAGATCGCGATAATCCGCCAGAAACCTGAAACTTGTGAAATTTAGCCGACATCTCTCGTTAGTAATGCCTGGTTTTTTCTGCTTTTTTATTAGTAGTTTTTCAACATTGCAAATTTTAATTTTACCTAAATTTAATTTTAATTATTTGATATTTAATTAACAAATTCAATAATAAACCGATGAAGATTGTAAGAGCGATCCAGACCATCTTTACGAGCTTGAGCCTTCCGCTTCAGTGCTGCCCACTGATCTTTCGCTTCATTCATTTTTGCAATTATTGCATCGGCTCGATCTGGATGAACCTGGGCAAGTCGTTCCGCTTCCGTCGATAATGAAGTCATCTGGAAGAAATCATTTTGAGTCAAACTGATCCATTCATTTTGAAAGCCGTCTCAAAATAATGTAATTTAAAGCTAATCTAAAATATTCCTCAAATCATTTTCTATATTCCAATGTTTTTTTGCAAGAATCAAGATAATTTGCAATATAATGACCTCGAGAGCTATGAAGAGACTCCTTTACTGGACATATATAAAAACAAAAAAATAAAAGTGAGAACTGAATTTTCGATTATTTCAATGATTCCAGTACAAACTAGAAAAGATAAACCTTAGCATCTAATGCAGCTAAATCACGCTCAGTTCCTTCGTGTTTACGTTGCAACGCTTGTACATTGTTCAGATCTCGTCCATAATCATCTGACGACAAAGTCGCATCTTTTTCACCAATCCAAGCCAAAGTTTCATCAATGTCACGGTTAAAACGTTGTACCTGATGTGCTCCAAACAAACCTTCCCGCCTACAAAATCAGAAATTTGGAAAATTTTCAAATCTTGGAATTGAGATTCAATTTCTGGATAACTTTTCCGTTCTCTGTAAATTACATTTAAAAAATCACCTCTGAAATAACTGTAAAAACAAAACCTTACCGAGTAGCAGCAAGAGTATTAAGACGATGCCAAGCATCATTAACTTCATCCTTTTTGTGACTGATTGTTTCAAATTCTGTATGTCCTTCATCAATAAGCTTATCAGCTGCCTGATTAACTTCCGTCACACGATACTGATGATTGCCTAGTTCTTTCAAAAATTCTTCAAATTTCCGTTGTAAAACCTGAACGATGGTGAATATGAACAGTTATTGTTAAGAAAGTTCGAAAAAAGTTGTATAAAAGAGCTGTTTCATCAAAAGTTTTCAAAACTAGCAAACCTCAACATGTTCCAAATCTTGACCAAAATCTTCGGCAGTAACGAAAGCCTCTTTATCACGAATCCAATAAAGTACTTCATCGCACTGTCTCATAAATTGTAAGAGTTTTAAGGCCTGCTGAAGCTTGATACCTTTATCTTTCAATTTAAAAAACAATTGATCCCACAACGAATGGAGTTCATTGAGCCGTCTCTGAAATTGGAGAATATCACTTTATACCAAAAGAGAGCTTAATTCATATCGTTTCCTAAAACAAAAAAAGTTGTTTCCTTACAGATTAGAGACCACTGAAAACTGTCTTATACAGTTAATTACCTCTAACCGTTATTATAAACTGCCTCAACCGTAACCTTTCTCTATTCAAAGATGAACTTTCTACATCTTGGATAGAATTCTCTTTATTTATTAGTTTTGAACTGTTCTTTAATTCGTAATTTCAATCCAACTTAAACTTCTTTCAACAAAACATCTACCTGCTACTTTTTCTATTAGGTACAAAAATTTCCAACTTTCAAACATAAAACGCTTCCCTTATATTTCACACTGCATTAATTTTAATGGAAAGTAATAAAATATTCACAAAGATCATTCGTATATGGAAAATTCATTTACCTTGATGATATCTGAAGCAAAATGTTGATGCTGTATCATATCACTGCCAGTTTTATCAAGCTGCGCTATAGCATTCGAATGTGCATGAACTTCGGCCTCAAATGCTTCATGTTTCTGGATCTTTGCCTGCAAACACGAATTCTGGACAAAATATAGGATTTTTTTTCATCTTTTCGCAGAATGCAATACTAGCTTTCAAGGAATTTTTAATAATTTTTCAAATTAAATGATGTTTTATCTATTTTTCAAAACTCTTCAAAAGGATAATTTAATGAAAACTACACGGACCTGCAAATTAGTTGGATCTCGAAATGATTCTTCTGATGCTGTTTGCAGCTTTTCAAGTATCCAAATTTCCAGTTCATCGGCATCTCGTTTGAAATACTGGAATTGTCGTGCTTCTTCCAGACGATCACGTTTAGCGCGA